CTCCTGTTTTGGCTGTTCTCGACTGTCTTGTGTCCCCGAGGAAAAAGTTCCTGCACTGCCTCTACCTGCTACTCTTCACACGGTCGTGCATAACTATTGACACGGCAATGTTTTTTTATTTATTTTTATTATTATTATTATTCTTTATTATTTTTTTGCATTTCCCAGAATGCTTTGCGGTTCATGCTGTTCCTCACACGGACGTGCAAAACCATTGACACGGTTTTGAAACACAATCTATAGATCCATGGTCGCTCCACATGGTGCGGCTGTTTGCTTTTGCATTTCCCAGATTGCTTTGCGGTTTGTGCTTGGCCGTGATAGGTCGAGAAGCCTCTGCCTACATCCCCCAGAATGCCGTGTGCTTCTGACTCAGATTTACTTCCTGTGTTTTCTTCCTGTGTTTTCTAACAGAGTGAAGTTAAATTATGGAACATTCTATGGACCCCGTTTTCTATTGATATCGAACACGTATCTATCGCAATATATATCGTTATTGTTTTATCGTCCAGTACTAGCTGTGAGTATTTCTCGAATATAAGATAAGATAAGATAGACTTTAATGATCTCACTCTGGAGAAATGTACATGTCACATTTGGCACAGAAGTACAATACAATATATTCTTGTATTTCCCTAAATCACAACAGCATCATCTCAGAGACTTCACAAAACCATTGAAATCACCAAAACACAGATCAGAGAATCAACAGTTAAAACACAGAAATAATAGAGAACACATGTTGATAAATGTCATACAAAGTGTCCTGGATCCTCAGTCCTTCGATAGATAGAATTGGATAGAATCAGATTGTGCAAAAGACAGAAGCTTAAAGGTTAAAATCTAGTCTGTGCAGGACATAATTCTGTACAATAAACACAAAATGGGGTGAATACAGTGTGAATGCATGAGCTCATATATTTCTTCTGCTCATGTTGCATTAAGAACACAGCCCTCTGCTTCCCTCTGAACAAGGCAAACAGTTATGTTGGACTGGGGTCTGAACAGAAAATATGGAGGTCCCAGCAGTCTGTCCGGCTAGCCCCTGTGCGCACACATGGTTCCCCAAATGTGCACGCTCTCACAGGCAAACAAAACCACCCCTCTGCTCCACGGTGGTCTGCTGGAGCGGGATGAAGGAGCACGGCAGATGTCCACCCTCCTTCCCCACAAAGAGTTCTGAGTGTGGGACAGTGTCAGTGCAGCGCAGGCTCCAGGAGAGGATTAAATACACAATCAGAATAACAGCCAATAATGACAGCTGCCAATACTGATCAGCTCTCTCTGCTCTCTCTCTGGTCTCTTGCTACTCTCTCTGCTCTCTGGTCTCTCTCTGGTTTATCTCTGGTTTCTCTCTGGTCTCTCTCTCTGCTCTCTCTGGTCTCTCTCTGGTCTCTCTCTCTGGTCTCTCTCTGGTCTCTCTCTGGTCTCTGCTCTCTCTCTGCTCTCTGGTCTCTCTCTCTGCTCTCTCTGGTCTCTCTCTGCTCTCTGGTCTCTCTCTTTTCTCTCTGGTCTCTCTCATCTCTCTGGTCTCTCTCTCTGGTCTCTCTCTGGTCTCTCTCTCTGGTCTCTCTCTCTGGTCTCTCTCTGGTCTCTCTCTGCTCTCTGGTCTCTCTCTCATCTCTCTGGTCTCTCTCTCTGGTCTCTCTCATCTCTCTGGTCTCTCTCTCTCTGCTCTCTCTCTGGTCTCTCTCTGCTCTCTCTCTGGTCTCAGTGTGGGACAGTGTCAGTGCGGTGCAGGCTGATAATAATGACAGCTGCCAATACTGATCAGCCAGAGACTATTGGCCCACAATGCTTCGGGCTGGGGTTTGGGTCCATATGTCTGCAGGGGTTTAGGGAAAGGGCAGATGACCCGAGAAGGCTATGAGGGGGTGAGATGAAAGGGAGGTCTCTCTCTGCGTCTCTCATCCTGGGTTGGTTTCTGTTTGTGTGGGCTCATCCTGGTGTCTGCTCATTTGTTGATGTATCAGTCTGTGAGGGACTCAGTCTGGGTCTAAAAGGATTCATGAAAAACCTTCAGAACAGACAGTTCACAGTCCTTTTTCAGCTCTGGTCTCTCTCTTTGGTCTCCTTCTGGTCTCTCTCTGGTCTTTCTCTTTGGTCTCTCTCTGGTCTTTCTCTTTGGTCTCTCTCTGGTCCCTCTCTTTGGTCTCTTTCTGGTCTCTCTCTGGTCTTTCTCTGGTCTTTCTCTTTGGTCTCTCTCTGGTCTCTCTTTGGTCTCTCTCTCTCTGGTCTCTCTTTGGTCTCTTTCTGGTCTCTCTCTGCACTCTCTCGCTGGTCTCTCAGTGGTCTCTTTCTGATCTCTCTGGTCTCTCTCTGCTCTCTCTCTGGTCTCTCCCTCTCTGCTCTCTCTCTCTCTGCTCTCTCTCTCTCTGGTGAGGGACTCAGTCAAGTGGAAGGGGAGGTGCTGCCAGAATACAATGGGAGGCCTGCAGAGGTAGTAGAGGTAGTAGCGGTCTCCTCCAGTCTCCCATTAACCCTTTAGCACTCCCAGCTTCCCCTTTAAATCTCCGGAATAGAGCTCAGCACGAGTTGCAGCCAGAGACATATGTTTATCCATCTCATAATTTCCTTTAAAGGAGAGGTTAAAGGGTCAGTGGGTTGTTTTCTCTCAGTCTTCGATAATCCCTCATGCATGCTAATCCATGTCCAATCGCTCGGATGTGTCATTGTTTAACCTGAAGAGCAGTTTCTACAGCAGATGTCTTTGCGAAATATGAACAATCTCATGTGCTCAGCTTCTTTCATCTGTGTTTGTGTTTTATACGGACTCCAAAAAATCATTAAAGTGCTGTGTTTAAACTGTTTGTGGAAAGAAGCTGTGAGCAAAACCAGATGTCCTGTTTCTCAGCGATCGATATCTTCTGCCAGAGGGAAGAAGCTGGAACATGCCTTTTCCAGAGGCCACAAGCGTCAATGATTACTCTAAGAGCTCGGTTTAAAAGTCTGGATTCATAAAAAACCTTCAGTACAGACAGATCTCAGTCCTCTCTCAGAGCGGAGAAACTCTCTCTGGTCTCTCTCTGGTCTCTCTCTAGTCTCTCTCTCTGGTCTCTCTCTGGCTTCTCTCTGGTCTCTCTCTAGTCTCTCTCTCTGGTCTCTCTCTGGTCTCTCTCTCTGGTCTCTCTCTGGTCTCTCTCTAGTCTCTCTCTCTGGTCTCTCTCTGGCCTCTCTCTGGTCTCTCTCTGGTGTCTCTCTGGTCTCTCTCTAGTCTCTCTCTCTGGTCTCTCTCTGGTCTCTCTCTTGGTCTCTCTCTCTGGTCTCTCTCTGGTCTCTCTCTCTGGTCTCTCTCTGGTCTCTCTCTGGCCTCTCTCTGGTCTCTCTGGTCTCTCTCTGGTCTCTCTCTGGTCTCTCTCTGGCCTCTCTCTGGCCTCTCTCTGGTCTCTCTCTCTGGTCTCTCTCTGGCCTCTCTCTGGTCTCTCTCTCTGGTCTCTCTCTGGCCTCTCTCTGGTCTCTCTCTGGCCTCTCTCTGGTCTCTCTCTCTGGTCTCTCTCTGGTCTCTCTCTGGCCTCTCTCTGGTCTCTCTCTCTGCTCTCTCTCTCTTGCCTCTCTCTGGTCTCTCTCTCTGGTCTCTCTCTGGTCTCTCTCTGGTCTCTCTCTGGTCTCTCTCTGGTCTCTCTCTCTGGTCTCTCTCTTGTCTCTCTCTGGTCTCTCTCTGGTCTCTCTCTGGCCTCTCTCTGGTCTCTCTCTCTGCTCTCTCTCTCTGGTCTCTCTCTGGTCTCTCTCTCTGCTCTCTCTCTCTGGCCTCTCTCTCTGGTCTCTCTCTGGTCTCTCTCTGGTCTCTCTCTCTGCTCTCTCTCTCTGGCCTCTCTCTCTGGTCTCTCTCTCTGGTCTCTCTCTCTGCTCTCTCTCTCTGGTCTCTCTCTCTGCTCTCTCTCTGGTCCCTCTCCTCGCTCTCTGGCCTACTGTATCTCTAGTTCTGGTAGTTCTTTGTCTCTGTGATGTCACCAAACCCCACAGTCTCAGAACCAACAATCTTTCTTTGATGCTACAGTAAAAGTGAAGCAGAATCTTAGACTAAACCATGTGTATTAATCCTTCATTGTTGCACAGTGACAGAACAGACATAATCACAAAAGGAGGTGCACACAAAATGGCCGACAAGTCATTTAAGTCTCTTTAAAGTATAGTTAGTTCCATGCTTCCCTGTGTCTGTGGGGCCTCTTCCCACCAGATTGCCAAAACCCTCCGATCCAGGCCTTGGCAGGAGGTCGGAGACGGCAAGTGCACACATCATAACAGTGGGAGAGCTGAGTTTCCATTCTTCCCTGTGCTCCCTCCCCCCTTAGAAGCCGGTCACCCAAGCCAAGACAATTCGATGATTGTGTGGTCCCTCCACCCCCACTGCTTTTTGAGAATGGTACAAGTGCGTGGACATAGTGGGGAGTGGGAGACAGGATATTGCATAAGTTTTATTGACTGGTTGTTTGGCTTCGTGAGGCGTCTGGATTTGGTCTCATTTCCTGTGTCCTCTTGGTGTGAATAAGTGAGTGCCTTTTTAAGTTACAGTGTCAGTATTCACCATTTGGTTGGAGGTTCCGAGACTTAGCACGAGGGGTCGACGGGTTATCGGCCGGGTTGATTACACTGGGTAACAAAAAAATATGTTTTGAAAATAGTCCAGGGTTTTCAGCTGAATCAGACTAATGTTGAGGCTTTGAGTCTGAAAATGACGTTGGTTTTGCTCAATCAGGTCAGGATTTTTTGCTACAGAAATATTTTTTTTAATCGATTTTGCGTAAAAAACTAATTTCTGCGGATCCTCAGCTGAGAAACCCTTGACGTTTTTTCCGTTTTCCTCAAGAAATAAAAGTCAACGTATCCAAAGTCATTCAGTTTTTATTTACTCCAAATTTGATAAGCAGAATTCCTAATAACGTAGACGTACATAATCCGTAACACTATGGCTGTATCTCACACAGTTGACCTGATAGAGACAAATGCATGTGATATTCGGACTCAGAACACCAACATTAGTCTGAATCAGCTGAGAAACCCCTGACCATTTTTTGGCTGTCAACTTGTGTAATCAGAGCTAATGTCGGACCCCTGAGGAGGACTGTAAAAAGTCTAGGTCATTTCTTTTGGCTCAAAATTAAGTAAAAAAACAGGGAACTTTGTTAAAATTACATCAAATATAACAAGTCAGCGTCCAGCACTTTCTATTTGTGTGTTTTGTCACATGACCCATGAGGAAGTTCAGTATTGGATTTTACCCATACACACAATACTTTCTCTGATACTAAAGATTTTATTTCAGATTTTAACCATGTTTGTACAGTGTCCTTGGGTGTTTTATTATTATTATTATTATTATTATTCTACTGCGGATAAATATCATCTGCATATTTTAAGTTTTTGCTGCTTGTTTTTAAATGTGTAAATGCTTTAGCCTCTGTGTGTCTGACAGAGCTCGTTTCTCTGTCTGCTCCTGAAAACCAGATTCAGTTGTGTATGTCCAGGCCTCGTCTCAAAACTCAAGGAGACCAGACCAGTCCAGACCAGACCAGAACATACCAGACTAGACCGGGTCCGAAATGGAGTACAGGACATTAGAGCAGCTCCTTCTTTGGAGGTTTTTAAATCTAGTCTAAAAACACATTTTTACGCCTTGGCTTTTGACACCAACTGAGTTTTACTTTTTACATGTTTTTGTGTATTTGATGTGTATCTGGTCTCTCTCTGGTCTCTTTCTGGTCTCTCTTTCTGGTCTCTTTCTGGTCTCTCTCTGGTCTCTCTCTCTGGTCTCTCTCTCTGGTCTCTTTCTGGTCTCTCTCTGGTCTCTCTCTGCTCTCTCTCTCTGGTCTCTCTCCCTGGTCTCTCTCTGGTCTCTCTCTCTGGTCTCTCTCTCTCTGCTCTCTCTCTCTCTGGTCTCTCTGGTCTCTCTCTCTGGTCTCTCTCTGGTCTTTCTCTCTGGTCTCTCTCTGGTCTCTCTCTCTCTCTGCTCTCTCTCTCTGGTCTCTCTGGACTCTCTCTCTGGTCTCTCTCTCTCTGGTCTCCCTCTGGTCTCTCTCTCTGCTCTCTTTCTCTGGACTCTCTCCCTGGTCTCTCTCTCTGGTCTCTCTCTGGTCTCTCTCTCTCTGGTCTCTCTCTCTGGTCTCTCTCTGCTCCCTCTCTCTCTGGTCTCTCTCTCTCTGGTCTCTCTCTCTGCTCTCTCTCTCTCTCTGGTCTCTCTCTCTGGTCTCTCTTTCAGGTCTCTCTCTCTGGTCTCTCTCTCTGCTCTCTCTCTCTCTGGTCTCTCTCTCTCTGGTCTCTCTCTCTGCTCTCTCTCTCTCTGGTCTCTCTCTCTGGTCTCTCTCTCTGGTCTCTCTCTCTGGTCTCTCTCTCTCTGGTCTCTCTCTCTGGTCTCTCTCTCTCTGGTCTCTCTCTGGTCTCTCTCTCTGGTCTCTCTCTCTCTGGTCTCTCTCTCTGGTCTCTCTCTCTCTGGTCTCTCTCTCTGGTCTCTCTCTCTGGTCTCTCTCTCTGGTCTCTCTCTCTCTGGTCTCTCTCTCTGGTCTCTCTCTCTCTGGTCTCTCTCTCTGGTCTCTCTCTCTCTGGTCTCTCTCTCTGGTCTCTCTCTCTGGTCTCTCTCTCTGGTCTCTCTCTCTGCTCTCTCTCTCTCTCTGGTCTGGTCTGTTGAAGTACTTTTGGCATTGACATTATTGATATTTGTAGACCTCCTTTTAGAACATTCTAATAATACTTTTGTTCTCCACAGAAAATGCTCCTAAAGAAGAACTGGGGAGGAAAAACACGGACGCTGAAGATCCGAGTGAGTTCCTCCCTCCTACACCTGTAGAGTTCCTCCCTCCTACACCTGTAGAGTTCCTCCCTCCTACACCTGTAGAGTTCCTCCCTCCTACACCTGTAGAGTTCCTCCCTCCTACACCTGTAGAGTTCCTCCCTCCTACACCTGTAGAGTTCCTCCCTCCTACACCTGTAGAGTTCCTCCCTCCTACACCTGTGATCAGGGGTGTCCAAACATTTTAGAAAGACAGTCAGTACAGGGGCTGACGTCACTGATTGAAAAACTATCTTGACTGGATTCATTTTGAGTTTTAAAATGATCTTTAACGGAGCTGAAGTTGGCTACTTTAGCAACGTTAACTCAACTTGTTCCAGTTAGCTTCTTACTAGTACTATCCAAATGGTTTGAAACATGGACTGGGCTCCTCCATTTTTTCAGTGAGCATATTAGCATGTTAGCATATTAGCATGTTAGCGTATTAGAACGTTAGCATGTTAGCGTATTAGAATGTTAGAATATTAGCGGTTTCTAGTTCTGTGGATAAAAAAGTCTGTCCGTTACACTGGATAAAAATCCCTTAAAAAACATATATGAAAATAAGTAAAATATTATTTAAAAAATAAATAAAACATTTGACTTAAGATTTTTGAAAATATTAAAATTATACTATTGCCCCAAATACCTTAATTCTAGTTTAAAAATATATGATTCAAGTATTATTTCCTTTTTTCTTAAACATTTTTGAGTTTGGTTTCCTTCTCAAAGTCATTGATTTGATAAAAACAAAGCATTTTTTAAACCACACCCAGAGAAAAAAAAAAAAAAGTATCTTGTGGCTATACCTGCTAGCCTGACTCTGGCCAGACCCATGTGGTCCTAGCCTGACTCTGGCCAGACCCATGTGGTCCTAGCCTGACTCTGGCCAGACCCATGTGGTCCTAGCCTGACTCTGGCCAGACCCATGTGGTCCTAGCCTGACTCTGGCAGACCCATGTGGTCCTAGCCTGACTCTGGCAGACCCATGTGGTCCGCTGCCCTTCACACATGAGTCTGGTACTGAGCCACAGTGGTTGAATTTCAGAAGCAGGGCCTTGTAAAAAAAATCCTTGTATGTGATTGGATAGACCACTTGTCCGTTATCTTGAATGAAGTCTGCTTTCAACCACTCACATCGAAGCACACGGCTTCAGCCAATAGCGAACTATCTAAATGACGTCACTAAGACACGCCCCCGCCGCCTGTCAACTCCCGCCCACATGTTTCGGACAAACACTGCCAAAATGAATCAAATACCACTTGTCACTTTAGACAAAAATGATAAACCAGGGGCAAAATTCCACCATCAAACCATCAGGGATCATAGTGTAGACCAATTATAACGTTGGCTTGAATGTCGTGGTCTTCCAGTGACTGGTAGAAAGTTTGATTTGATAAAAAGGTAATGGTGAGGATTATGCTAACATTATCTAGTCATTTAAATTGCAATGTTAGCGCCTTCTTTGTTTATTTTGCTCTGATTAACTTCCATTTATCAAGTTGTTTTTTGTACTGTCCATTTCGTAATTAGTTTGATCATTTAGTTAACTACAGTCAGCCGATATTATAACAGATCCATGGGGTCACAACGGGCTACACCACTACTGTCTCTGAGAGAGAAACTATCGGAACTAGCCACACTCAGTAAACGCAAACGACAATCAATCAACACATTTAAATGTTAATGCTAGAATATATTATTCATACAACACACGTGCACAGAGGTTTTCAGAATTATCTGTTAAGGTTTTCATGACAAAAATACTTTTTTAATGCGACTAAAGCAATCGCTTTTTTAAAGTAGGTGAACTAAAACCTTTGGGAACTATTTTGTTTGCACTCATTAAATAAACCTTTTGGCATGAATAGTGACAGAAGTTTATTTTGTGTGTTGAGTTGGTACAAAGCCGTATAATAAGCGGACCCCGACGCGCTTCGTCTGTGCTTATTTTCCGATAGTCACGAAGTTGAAAAAATCCCTCTCATCTTTCTTCAGGTGTGAGAATTGTATACTTTCTGGATTAGGACAAACAATACTAATATGGATTGATGGGGCTAACTACATTCAGAAGAGCTCAGACGGACCTGATACAGCGGTCCAGGTCCAGTCCCAGCTAAACGTAGCTAGGACTGGATCTGGAGGCTCCACAGTTGGTCCAGCGAAGTGTTTTGAAAAAACATGTCCTTTTTAACATTTTCATGAGAGAAATTCTGCTGACCACAAGCACCCACCTCTTGCACTTGTCCTGGTCTGGTCCTGGTCTGGTCCTGGTCTGGTTCGATGGTGTGGTTTAACGAACGGGTTGAATGTTACTGCTTTCATATAGTCCTTTTCAGAGTATCTGAAATCGCTCCCACAAGCACCATAACTGCAGTGTTTTGTTGTCACCATGATTCAATGATTTAGCCCAAATAAATACACACGCTTATGAGGAGAACACAGTAGAACTCAACGGAGTCGGACAGAGTTTGTCCGAAACATGCGCGCATGCGCAGTCATTGGAACTATTTTTAGCACATTTCGGAAACCGGACAGTGCCCTATAGGTTGCCAAATCCCAGAAAGATGTTCCAACCCAAAATCCGCGAGAATACCCAAAAAAACCCACTAAAAACGTGATATAATCAACTTGGGCTATCATGATTCTGTTTATTGTCTTTCTGTTTATTTAATACCTACAAGTCTCTTGGAAAAAAATATGTGGGAACCACCAAACCTGGCAACCCTGCTGCATAGTGTGTAAACAGGAACACTGAACCAGTGCTTCAACCAAACTTTACAGGAACATTTGACTCTTAAAACACACATATATCAACATAGAACCATCAACATAGAACCATCAACATCTTGCCTCAAATTAAAAGTGACATCCGTGTCTTAATTCGATCGTGTTTACTCTTTTAAAAAGATTTGCGGACTTTACGTCTGTCATCTTGGATTCCTCTCGCTGCTGCATGAGAGAAGCTTGAGAAGGCAGTGCAAACCCCACGTAACACCGGCAATCCTGATTGGTCGATTAAAAAATAATCTGGGGAAGGCGTTCGCTATGGGCTCGATACCAGACCCATGTGGTTCAGCCAAACGCCTCTGGTGGAGCATGGCGGAACTACAAGGGTCTGGCAGAGCCAGGCTAATACCTGCAGGTTAAAGCAAGATGTGCAGGGCAGAGCCTGGTTAGTGCTGTGATGGGAGACCTCTGTGGGGCGGCTGCGGCTGTAAAGTGCCAAACTGTGGCTGTGTCCTTGGGCAAGACACTTCCCCCACATTAGAATGAGTCTGGTGTGTGTGTGAGTGGTTGGTGGTGGTGGGAGGGGCTGATGGCACAGACTGGTTGCCTCGCTTCTGTCAGTGTGCCCCAGGGCAGCTGTGGCTACAATAGTATGTGAATGAATATGTGAAAAAGCAGAAAAGCACTATATAAAACCTATTTATTATTATTATTATTATTGTTCAAGCTGGACTATGTAGCCCTTCTAGTTGAGATTTTTTTTTTTACATTCATGAATTTTATATATTTGACCAAAACACCTTAAATTCACTCGTACTTGCGAAATACCGTGACGGAGTATGGGGTTGTTAAGCAAAATGCACAGACTCTCATCTCCATCTTTCGGTTTCTTTTCCCCCCGAACCAGTCTCGTTGCTCTGTCAGATTTTCTCGTTCAGTCGGGTTTGTGTTTCTCTGGGTTTGGGAGGATTGGAGCATCTTGGCACCGGCCTCAACGCTCCAGACGGCCGCGCAGTGTGGTGAGAAAAGTGACGTTATTATCACGTTGTGTGGGCTAGTGTCAGTGGAACCTTATCATGCACTTGTTTATGTACACACACACACACACACACACACACACACACACTTTAAAGGCAGCTCTAGCGATGATGGAGCCATGAGGAGGAGTGTGCGGTTGCTTCCCTTGTGGTGTATTTCCAAAGATGAAGTCATTTTCCATTAATAGAATGGAGCTGTCTGTTGAGCCTGATACACAGAGATCGCCTCATACTCTCCTCCTCGCTGCTGTAGCTTCTCTCACTCGTGACGTCTTTGCGATTTGTGGGTGTAGTTTGGACCGAGGCCTCCTTCAGCCTGATACAAAACCTGTTCCAAGTTACTTTAAAGGAGCAGTGTGTAAAAATGTGGCCAAAAGTGGTACTGCAGCCTCTCCCACTCTCCCTGACTCAGGTTGCCAGATATGCAGACGAATCCAGCTGGGACCATAACAGCTGAATAGACAAGAGTTTAGTCAACAACAAATCTAACTTTGTGAAACAAATATTTCGCAAAGATAGAAATCCTGGTTTTATTCCTGGTTTTGTCGTTAATGATTTGAGAATCATAACGAGACCTTTTTTAGTTCTGCGCCACATGGTACTTTACCAGTGAGATTAGCTCCACGTGGTGAGTTCTGGCGCCCGGATCACAGACTTTCTGATTGGTGAAACGGTGGAGGGCGGGACATCAAAATGAAAACAATAAAAAAATTTAGGGGCTGGAAAAGTAATTTAGAAATTCAAATATCTCTGAACGACTGTTATCAGTTAAAGAAGGATTGGAAAAGAACAGTTTATTATTATGACAGATTAGGGCCCTTTAATGATGACAGATTAGGGCCCTTTAATTACGACAGATTAGGGCCCTTTAATGATGACAGATTAGGGCCCTTTAATGATGACAGATTAGGGCCCTTTAATTACGACAGATTAGGGCCCTTTAATGATGACAGATTAGGGCCCTTTAATGACGACAGATTAGGGCCCTTTAATGATGACAGATTAGGGCCCTTTAATGATGACAGATTAGGGCCCTTTAATGATGACAGATTAGGGCCCTTTAATGATGACAGATTAGGGCCCTTTAATGATGAAAGATTAGGGCCCTTTAATGACGTTTGGACATAATAATCTCACATATTGCTGCTTAAATGGGTGGTTCTAGTCCCTCTCAGGTCTCCGTCCGGGCCTCACTTGGCCTGTGTCCAGCAGAGACACTGGATCTCAACCCCAGAGCTTGCGCTTTGAGGCTGGATCCAAACATGATGGGAGCTGTTCTGGGGCCGGGGAGGTCTCTGGCTCTGGTTAAAGGAGGCGGTCAGTGGGAAAAAAAACACAGCCCTGGCTTTTCCTCTGGGGGCCGCGGGTGAATAGAGAGAGAGCTGATGAGAGCTTCCCCAAAGCAGGAGCGATGGGGTCTGGTTTCAGTCCCGCTGCAGAAGGGGCGTGGATCAGAGTGAAGATGGATTGGGTTCGGGGGATGGAAGGAAAAACTAAATGAAGGAACAGCGTGTTTTCTTTGATTTGTTTTCAGATTAGAATCTCAGGAAAAGGCCGCTCTAAAGACAGGACTAAGGAATTATTACTGGAATCCTAATTTTATTTATCCTTTCTGAAATTAGGACTAGAACACAAAAAGGTGAATTGCAGTTTGGATTAAACACAAAAACACAACGTGATTAACTATTTATTATTAGGTTATTGTTCAATTTTTTTCATGGTAATGCAACAAAGTACCACAATAATCCAGCACGGAAAAAAATAGAGAGTAGGATTAAGAAAAAAAAAATCGTATTAACTCCTACCTCGTTCTTATATAATCTTACAAATTATTTTGATTGTAGATTGTGATCTCTTTGCCACTAACAGAACACTTGAGGATTAGTGATGACAGATTAGGGCGATTTAGTGATGACAGATTAGGGCCCTTTAAGGATGACAGATTAAGACCCTTTATTGATGAAAGATTAGGGCCCTTTAATGATGAAAGATTAGGGCCCTTTGATGACAGATTAGAGCCCTTTAATGATGACAGATTAGGGCCCTTTAATGATGACAGATTAGGGCCCTTTAATGATGACAGATTAGGGCCCTTTAATGATGACAGATTAGGGCCCTTTAATGATGACAGATTAGGGCCCTTTAATGATGACAGATTAGGGCCCTTTAATGATGACAGATTAGGGCCCTTTAATGATGGCAGATTAGTGTTTCTGGGTCCTGCCTTCAGAGCAGACTTTGTACTTTTCTTTTGGTCTGAAGATACAGATGTGACGGGGTTTGAGACCGTCCTGATCTACGTCCTTCGCCACTCGACCCCATGTGCAGAGCATAAATCACACTCACCGCAGATGCTTTTTTGGCCCGAATGGATTTTCCTGGTGTTGGTTTTTGTCTGTTTTTGTTATTAATGGTCGTTCCGTCTTGTTTATTGGCAGGAATTGCTGCAGAGTTACTGCTTCACACGTTAGCTCCCTAAAGATACAGCACGGGGAGAACATGCAAAGTCCACTCAGAAAGACTCAAAGTGGCACTCTCACTTCTCAGCAAGAAGGTCCTGGGTTTCGAATCCTGGTCGGAACAGGGTCTCTCTGAGTGGAGGTTACATGATCTCCCTGTGTCTGCGTAGGTTTCCTCCAGGTGCTCCGGTTTCCCCTACCACTAAAACATGTACAATAGGTCTGAATGAGTGGATGGAGGGTGTTTGGTCAGAGGTTTTAAAGGACCAGTGTGTTCTAGTCTCACTTCAGTCATCACCGTGTGGAGAGATTGGAACTATATCTGAACTTTGTAAAGCTCTTTCAGTCTGTAAAATGCGCTATATAAATAAACTATACATACTTACTGTTCTGACTGGGATTTGAACCCAGAACCTTCTTGCTCATGATTTGTATTTAGCAATTTTTCAAGTTAAATGACCTTCTCCACAATCTCGACGTTTTTTTAGGTAATTTTGGATTTGGGGGAAAAAAAACATTCACCATCTCCCTCTGGTGGTGGCATAGGGAGTTACAAGTGGATCATCAAGACTATTGGCCCTCCCAACTGTCAATCATTCTGGTGATACGTGCTCGTCCAATGAGAGCAGAGTGTTTTTTTCCAAAGGCGGTTCTTTCCTAAAATCTGGGAAAATCCTTTTTTTTACCTTTTTAATATTTGTTTCACCAAAGCATTTTAAATGTAAGATATTATTACTTATTCTACAACACAAAACGAAAGTAAAGTCAATTCAAATTCAAAATAACTTTATTAATCTGTGAGAAACTTCATTTACAGACGGTGCATCAGACACAAAAACACTAGATATAAAATAAATACAGTAAAATAAATAGTGTAATTTGGGAAAAAACACATTAATTCAATTCTACACATTTCCGGTGATTTCTGTCCCACTCCCCTCTTTTCGACCGGCGATTACAGGAGAACAAAACTAGCTAGAAACAAACTTACTTTTGCTGCTGAAAGAAAACAGTCCAGTCTTTCAGAATCTGGTTTCATATTTCACATGGTCACAGCACATAATATTCTGTGGGGCTTGAAAATCAGTGAAATCATCCAAAACGGCAGCAGTCAGTGAGTTAAAAGTACTTCCAAAAGGTGTGAGTTTGTGACCATTTCCTTCTTACACAGATATATTCTGTGCTGCCTCTTTCTGTCCCGAGCGGTGGAAATCCACAGCTACAATCTAAAAACCATCGGGAACACACTGGAATCACCAAGCCCCCGATTCTCTCTCACTCCGCAGACTTCACTCCCTCCAGAGGCGCTGGAGAAACGGCGGCCTCGCTGCCAAATCCAACAAAGTCATTTCCTGTCGGGGGGAAAATGACCACGGCTAATTTTAGACCGAAACTAGTGGCGCGGTGAGGCCTGGGCGGCTCCCCGGGGGGCGGCCTTGTGTGGAGAAGCGTAAACTCGGGCCAGATATTCTCACACCAACATTTATCACGGCCCTAAAGCATGGGTTCAAATCTCCAGAGACAAATCATGACGTGAGGAAATCATTATCCACGTTTATACGCTGCAGAAAGTGAATAAACGTGATCGTATTAAGTTAGAATATGCTAAAAATGTGGCAAAATGTTGTAGTTTGAGCACGTTCTGACTGAGCTTAAAACAGATTTATCAATGGGACAAATGAAATAATCCTGTTTTAAAAAGATGCAAGAAATGAGAGAATAAGCCACAATTTGAACACAGTCAGAACGTGATAAAAACCACTCAAATGTTTTTATTTATTTTATTGTTTGATGTACTTTTATGTAAATATATATTTTTTTATTTTAATGGTTAGGCTTAGGGTTATTTTAATTAAATTCTTTTTCATATTATTTTCATTATTTTAAATTATTTATAATTTTATTTATTTCAATATTTGTGTTTTTTGGTTTTTATTAAACGCTGTGCAGCACTTTGGAATCTTGTTTTATAAAATGTCCTTAATAAACAAAGTGGATTTTTGTTGAAAAGGGGCGGGTCATAAGTAAAAACGTAGATGATTTAGATATTGTTCAAAATAGGGCTGCACGATATATCGGAAAAATATTGTTATCGTGAAATTGGTGCGTGTGATATCCATATCAAAATCAAAAAGATCTGCGATAAAAAAAAAAGTTTGTTTCCAATATCGTGCAGCCCTAGTCCAAAAGTTCATATATTTCTATAATTCACCTTAAAACCAATCAAGGCCGAGATTACAGATATTCTCAAACACATTTTCCACAAAATGTCAGTCTTGTACGTCTAACTTTCCCCTTTTCTTCCTCTTTTCCGTCTCCTTCAGAACCTGAGCAGCAGCCGGCCGCCTCCTCGCTACACCTACGACCCGTCCATATTTGCGTTTCGATCCCTGAGCACGGCGCCTCCATGTAGCCCCCTAAACCCCAGCGAGGACCCGGCCTGCTCGTAAGAACCTGGTCTCAGCCGGGCCACCAGGACCCGGATCCTGGTCCTGCATCCCCAGACCAACCAGAGACTGTCCGCAGACTGACAGCTCGGAAGCACACTTAAAAAACATGTCCGCTGGTTTCACTCTTGCACACTCAGGTAATCTCGCTCTCTCCGTGCTCAAACTAAAACACACACTTTCAAGTCCAAGAGTGTTTCAGGTTTGCATGCCTCAACAACAACAAAAATCACAAAATGTTCTTGTTTTTGGGACTACACCTAAAAGAGAAACCAACGCTGAAGGAATGTGGCCCCGCATGTTTGACAATCACTGGTGTCGAGCAGTTTTCTTCAGAAGTGACTCTGAATCCACGTCACCCACGGCAACAGTGAGTCATGTTACTGTCCAAATTAAAGGCAGTTATTTGGCTGTGAATCTGCAGGTCATGAGAAGGAATGACTGTAGTGCAGGCCTGTCAAACTCAGGCCCGTGGGCCAAATCCGGCCCGCAAGAACCCATTCTAAGTGGCCCCTGAAACGGTTTAATTATCATTATCACAGTGACTTGCAGCATTGATGGTGATGGGCTACTATGGCATGTTATACTTAACTTTAAAGCAGAGGTGTCCAAACCGGTCCAGAAAGGGCCGCTGTGGCTGCAATACCACCCCGGGCCTGTGGGGGTGGACCTGGAATAAGAATTAGCCAATGCTAACATATAGCATCTTCTTACCTCTGTAAAACGTCTTTACAGGATGGACCAAAAGTCAGCTCTTGGCCCAAAGCTCCGTTCCACATGTGTGTCAATGCTGAGTGTTCTGGACCAGTCTAGTTTAGTCGCTGTGGACTGTTGAAGTCTCTCGTTTAAATGAATGGGGCTCGTGCAGCTGACGCATGCACAGATGTGTTTTTCACATTTTCCAGCCCCTGCGGCCATTTTGAAACTGCCCATAGACCGCGGATGTTGTGACACATTAGTTAGAACTACGTCCGTTATTATTTACAGTCTATGGTCTTAACCTGAAGATTTGATGAAATGGGTGGAGTCTGCTCTGCTCCTGTTGGGTCTGACAGAAAACCTGCCGCCACAGAGGCCCTTTCTGGACCGGTTTGGACTCCTCTGCTCTAAAGCATCTGGGGAAAACAATCATATAATCAAATCTGAAATGTAGGTTGAAGTTGTAGTTAATAATTATTCATGTTTAACAATCATCCTTCCAATGCATCACTTCTTGATGTTTGGCCTGTTGTGGTTGAATCCAAAATAAAACATCCAAACTAGTTAATTTGTTAAAAAAAAAAAAAAAAACAGTCGGCACCAACCAGCTCTTATGTTTTTAAATTTGGCCCTGACCAACATGAGTTCGACGCCCCTGCTGTAGTGGTTTAGTCCATGTTTGAAGTGTTTTACAGACCGTCACATGTTACACAGATGACAATAGTTACTGCACATTTACAAAGTCTGTGTTCTGCATAGCTTACTTTATAGTGTGCCATTCTGTTCAATACTCCTGTCATTCTCAACCTGAAGCTAGCAGAAGAAGAAGAGTTTGTGCGTAGACGTTTTAGAGTCTTCACAAGTCTCTCAATGCCTCAAGGTCACGTCACAGTTGTTTGAAAGTCTAGTTTTCTGGGTTCAATTGTAATGCTTTTGATGGACACCACTCTGGACAAGGACATCGCAGAAGAAAACTTAAAGGAGCTATACCCGTTTCTACAAGGTTTTGAATGTTTAGCCCCGCCCCCGCGCTCCTCCCTCTGAGCCATCTAGTTTTATTTGCAATCTGATACGTATGCTAACATTAGCATTAGCACAATTTAAGCCGTACAACAATCACTGATGAAATGGTACAAAAGCAACGCACTGCTAACAAAATATATAACTGAAAGATTACTGCTAGTTTCACGTCCGAATGTAGTCCGAGCGTAGATGGTCTGAGCGTAGATGGTCCGAGCGTAGATGGTCCGAGCGTAGATGGTCCGAGCGTAGATGGTCCGAGCGTAGATGGTCCGAGCGTAGATGGTCCGAGCGTAGATAGTCCGAGCGTAGATAGTCCAAGGCGGTCCCGCAGGTCTCTCCCATGGACAAGTCTCTCCAGAGGATAGCTAGGTTCAGTTGAGTTATAGCCACTTATGCTAACATGCTACTGTGTTTAGCAGCGCTGTAGAGGATAGAGGACGCAGCCTCGTTCTGTGATTGGAGGAGAGCGGACGTCACGCCAAGTCTCTACTCAGCACTTTTTACTGAGTTCATACACAGCTGAATCAATGAGCTCAAGTTTTACATTAAATTAAGGATTATAACAACTTGTTTGTAGTAATAAACATTTTTGTGAACGCACTAGAAAATAAATCGGGTATAGCTTCTTTAAGGACATTGCTGAAGAAAATGTAACATTGAGGCCGATGTCAATTTTGCACAAAATGAACCAATAAATGCTTGTGGCCTCTTGTTTGGGAAAAAAACAGTCTTGTTTTATTAACTGTTTTAATGAACTGCATCATGGATCTGTCCCGAGGGAAAAGCTGCACCTTTTACTGATTGGACTGAAATAGGCAGTGTTAGGGAGTAACTGAGTACATGTAACTGTATTCCACTACAGGTACTACTTTAAAGTCTAGTATTTAGATTAGTTACTTTAACCCTTTAATGTTCACTCGCTGAAGAAAGCAAAGGTATTGTAAGTATTCTTTATTCTCTAAGATGTAGGACACTAATAAAAAAAACACAACTTTTATAGTTCTTTAGTCACTTTTACCTCAAAGATAAGAAAATAAAGTAGACAGTGACTCAAAGTGATTTCTCGCATGACATTTTTAAGGTTCAAAATAAATAAATAAAAGTGAAGATTGTATATTTTCTGGTTAAAAGCAGCTGTTGAAAAACTTTAATTATTTGATCATTAGTTTAATTTGGTCAATGTCACGTCGAGAGGAACCAGTTGAGGTGGCTCGGGCATCTGTTCCGGATGCCTCCTGGACGCCTCCCTGGGGAGGTGTTCTGGGCACGTCCCACCGGGAGGAGGCCCCGGGGAAGACCCAGGACCCGCTGGAGGGACTATGTCTCTCAGCTGGCCTGGGAACGCCTTGGGGTCCCCCCGGACGAGCTGGAGGAAGTGTGTATGGATAGGGAAGTCTGGGCGTCTCTGCTTAGACTGCTGCCCCCGCGACCCGGCAACGGATAAAGCGGAAGAAAATGGAATGGTCAATTTCAACGCTTTAAAAAAATTTAAACATGATATTTTGAAATTTACTTTTAAATGTTCTGTAAATAAACATGATTTTAAATGAATACTTTACAAAACACATTTTAGGTCCTGTGTTCAGTGTTCAGGAACAAAAAACATTTTCTAAGTATTCTCCCAAATCTGCAGACAGAGCTATTCTAAATATAGACTTTAACACTTCATACTTATTCAGAAATATCAAGAGGAAGAGACAAAAGGACTTCTGCCTCATTATTGGGTCACACAAGTTTGGACCAAGCACAAAAAGCACGAGGCACTTTGGACCGTTCTGAGAGCGGCTCTTTGTGTGAGAGAGAAGCCTCTGACGTCAAAACTGGTTTGGGTGTGAACAAGGCATCTCGTTAAATCCACAAAACTGGAACAAATGGGCCAGAAACAATGATTGAGCTTTAATTACACATTTATATAAGAAAATACAGACACAAAGAAGGAGGAGAACACAAGCAATTAGACGGAATCACACTTGAAGAAATCCTGCTTCATGCAAACAGTTCAAGTGCTGACTGGATTATTGGGAAATCCGGTTAAAATAAGAACTTTTGGCCGAGCTTGGATGTGTGCCAAGAGTGTAGACACACACTTCACTTTGCCTAAGTCATTATCAGCTTGTGTTTCATCCAGTTATCCATCCAAGTGTCCAGATGGTCAGAAAAGCTGCTTCAAAGACACCCTCCTCTTTCCTCTCCCGGCTACGCATTCTCTTTTAGGGGTAAAAAAGAAAAAAAGGAAAAAGTTATGCGGGCAATTGAGTAGTGCCAAACAGGAACGGGCAGTAGGGAAGCGGCGAGAGAAATCTGAATCAGGATCATTTAAAAACCGCCGCTCCAGTCGTTCCCATTTTCCGCTCGTTCAAACTGAATGAACAACATGTGACGTGTGAGGATCTGTCTCTGCGTCCAAAAGTCTGCGTCGCAAAGTGCCAGAGTCCCCCATCTCTGCGTCGCAAAGTGCCAGAGTCCTCCATCTCTGCGTCGCAAAGTGCCAGACTCCTCCATCTCTGCGTCGCAAAGTGCCAGAGTCTCCCATCTCTGCGTCGCAAAGTGCCAGAGTCTCCCATCTCTGCGTCACAAAGTGCCAGAGTCCCCCATCTCTGCGTCGCAAAGTGCCAGACTCCTCCATCTCTGCGTCGCAAAGTGCCAGACTCCTCCATCTCTGCGTCGCAAAGTGCCAGAGTCTCCCATCTCTGCGTCACAAAGTGCCAGAGTCCCCCATCTCTGCGTCGCAAAGTGCCAGAGTCCACCATCTCTGCGTCGCAAAGTGCCAGAGTCCCCCATCTCTGCGTCGCAAAGTGCCAGAGTCCCCCATCTCTGCGTCGCAAAGTGCCAGAGTCTCCCATCTCTGCGTCACAAAGTGCCAGACTCCTCCATCTCAGCGTCGCAAAGGGCCAGGGTCCCCTATCTCTGCGTCGCAAAGTGCCAGAGTCCCCCATCTCAGCGTCGCAAAGGGCCAGGGTCCCCTATCTCTGCGTCGCAAAGTGCCAGACTCCTCCATCTCTGCGTCGCAAAGTGCCAGACGTCCCCCATCTCTGCGTCACAAAGTGCCAGAGTCCCCTATCTCTGCGTCGCAAAGTGCCAGACTTCTCCATCTCTGCGTCGCAAAGTGCCAAAGTCCCCCATCTCAGCGTCGCAAAGGGCCAGGGTCCCCCATCTCTGCGTCGCAAAGTGCCAGACTCCTCCATCTCTGCGTCGCAAAGTGCCAGAGTCCCCCATCTCTGCGTCGCAAAGTGCCAGAGTCCCCCATCTCTGCGTCGCAAAGTGCCAGAGTCCCCATCTCTGCGTCGCAAAGTGCCAGAGTCCCCATCTCTGCGTCGCAAAGTGCCAGAGTCCTCCATCTCTGCGTCGCAAAGTGCCAGAGTCCTCCATCTCTGCGTCGCAAAGTGCCAGACTCCTCCATCTCTGCGTCGCAAAGTGCCAGCAGGCCAAATGCCCAGTGTCTGCTTTCCCAACTTAAGCCAAAAGAAAAGGTGCAGGGTGTTTTTAATCAGTCTTTAAACGCTCCCAGACGCTGAAAAAGGGGCACCGTTCTCTGGGCGAGTGGGTTTGGGACCGTTTTATTGACCCGTCACCTCATTTATCACGACGACCAATAGAAGGGCTTCCCCGAGCGAAGAATCGTAGGTATTCAGTGAAGACAAAAGCTGCCGGGGTCGAGGACAGCGCTCTCTCAGTATCCATACTTTTCATTTAGGTGAGTGCGGCCGTCTCCAGTCTGACCTAAAACAGACCAAATAACAGCTCGTTAAAGAGAAAGAAAACAAACACAATAGAAAGGCGACGAGCGTCCATTTTGGGATCTTAGAAGTTGCATGTTGTTTAGGAGGATCTTTGTTTACATCTGTGCGCGCCCCTCGCTGGGTGGCAAAAAGACAGAGCGGCACAAACTGAAGCATGGATGCCACAAATTACTTTTAAAATACTTGATAATGCACTGTATATAAGCATTTTAACACAAGCAGATCAGAGGAGCTTTAAAGACAAGCTCAAAATAAGTATGAGCCCGAACTGAACAAATCCAAAGCCCAGATGAGACCAGGGAGGACCGCGTTTTTTACTGCGGTAAAGCGGTCCGGCTTTCTGCTGTCGAGGTAAAGTGGTCCGCACATTAAAAGCGGGTCGGCCCTTTTTGCTGTTTCTTGCAGTAAACATGGAACAGGAAGCCGCAGGGATGAGCAACCAAAATACAATGTTTGAAATTCATCATCACAGTGAACAAGTGCGCAGTGAAAGTAGTTACAAAACTTAATATTTTTAATGATTTTTCCCCCGGCTTCTCTTTCAACATTTACTGAAGGAAACAGCATCAAGGGGCAACCCGCTTTTAATGTGCGGACCACTTTACCGCGGCCGTTTTTTGCTGTTCTTTTTTGAAGGAATCAGAAAAAAATAACTTAATCTGTTCCCAGTGGGCCGTACAACCGACCACACAACAGGAACGGACCATTTGATTTAGTAGAACCTCTCTACAAACGTCTAAAGCTAGCTAACTCTCTAGCATCCAGGTAGCTATCTCTGCTGTACTGCCACACAGTCACATGACCACTCCATGATCCTCCTTTATGAACTCCAGACAATATGAGCCACCCGTGCATTTTAGGGATTTCATTTGTGTTCTTTGATTACGATGTCGTTAAAAGAGTAATGCAGCGTACCGACAGGAGGCACCCACACACAATAATCAGGGTCATCGTCCGGATACTTCCCTCCAGTGAGAGGCACAGGCGGCTGACAAACAGAAAGGACAACGTGTTATTCACAGAAACGGAACGACACGGCAGAATATGAATATGTCGAGTCGTACCCGGCCTGGGCCTTTCTTCTTCGGTTTGGGACCGGTCTCTGCTTCAGGCCTGGACTCTATAAAAACACACTCTGGTAAAGCTCTCCAAACAGGATAACGTGTGTGTGGTGGGTTTGGGCTGCACAGTGTCTAAAACTGATATTTTTGACCAACATTGCGATGTGATTTTTGATATCCTGTGAGTTGCAAAAGTTTGGGTTTTGGGAGTAGAACGTAAGTTACCGTGGTTACATTGGAAAAAGCAAAAGATAACATTTTTAAATTATCAAATATTTCAGAAAATGTTTAGAAAGTTCTACCTCACAGTCCATTTTTTTCTAATAAATTGTTAAATTGTGAAACGTATATAGTTTTTCCACAAAATTATTAGACAGAGGGTCAGTGAAAAATAAATCTCCAAAAATAGACTCAAGTTCCAATGATATTTTTGTTTGCAAATACATTGAATAATTGAGGGTTTGGACTTGACCCAGGGCAGGTTTCCTTCACAGCTTCAGACCTGAGGAAGTCGGATCCGCTGAAGATTCTTGGACGGAGCTTTTCTTTCCTGCTTCTGTTTGAGACTCACACTTCTGCTCTTTTGGACTGGCCCCTGGACAGAGAAAGACCAAACCTGTGGAGATCTGCCGCCCTCTAGTGGACGTACTCAACATATAGTTTCTGTGTATCAGCAGCGTTTTAGTGTCGTGTGTGTGCGCATGTGCGTTTTTATTAGTGTGTGTGTGTCTAGTTTATTAGTGTGTGTGTTTTTATTAGTTAGTTAGTGTGTGTTAGTTTTATTAGATCGCTGATCCTCTGCAGGGGGTGAGTCCACAGGAAGATGGCTGCTCTGTCAGCGGTGAAACAGCCTTGGTCTTTCAGCGGGGGTGTGTGTGTGTCTTGTTTATTACCGTGTCTGTGTCTTGTTTATTAGTGTGTGTGTGTCTTGTTTATTAGTGTGTGTGTGTCTTGTTTATTAGTGTGTGTGTGTCTTGTTTATTAGTGTGTGTGTCTTGTTTATTAGTGTGTGTCTTGTTTGTGCGTGTCTTGTTTATTAGTGCGTGTCTAGTTTATTAGTGCGTGTCTAGTTTATTAGTGTGTGTCTAGTTTATTACTGTGTGTCTAGTTTATTAGTGTGACTGTAGTTTATTAGTGTGTGTCTTGTTTGTGCGTGTCTTGTTTATTAGTGCGTGTCTAGTTTATTAGTGCGTGTCTAGTTTATTAGTGCGTGTCTAGTTTATTAGTGCGTGTCTAGTTTATTAGTGCGTGTCTAGTTTATTAGTGCGTGTCTAGTTTATTAGTGCGTGTCTAGTTTATTAGTGCGTGTCTAGTTTATTAGTGCGTGTCTAGTTTATTAGTGCGTGTCTAGTTTATAGGTGCGTGTCTAGTTTATTAGTGCGTGTCTTGTTTATGAGTGCGTGTCTAGTTTATTAGTGCGTGTCTAGTTTATTAGTGCGTGTCTAGTTTATTAGTGCGTGTCTAGTTTATTAGTGCGTGTCTAGTTTATTAGTGCGTGTCTAGTTTATGAGTGCGTGTCTAGTTTATTAGTGCGTGTCTAGTTTATTAGTGCGTGTCTAGTTTATTAGTGCGTGTATAGTTTATGAGTGCGTGTCTAGTTTATGAGTGCGTGTCTAGTTTATTAGTGCGTGTCTAGTTTATTAGTGCGTTTCTAGTTTATTAGTGCGTGTCTAGTTTATTAGTGCGTGTCTAGTTTATTAGTGCGTGTCTAGTTTATTAGTGCGTGTCTAGTTTATTAGTGTGTGTCTAGTTTATTAGTGCGTGTCTAGTTTATTAGTGCGTGTCTAGTTTATAGGTGCGTGTCTAGTTTATTAGTGCGTGTCTTGTTTGTGCGTGTCTTGTTTATTAGTGCGTGTCTAGTTTATTAGTGCGTGTCTAGTTTATTAGTGCGTGTCTAGTTTATTAGTGCGTGTCTAGTTTATTAGTGCGTGTCTAGTTTATTAGTGCGTGTCTAGTTTATGAGTGCGTGTCTAGTTTATGAGTGCGTGTCTAGTTTATTAGTGCGTGTCTAGTTTATTAGTGTGTGTCTAGTTTATTAGTGTGTGTCTAGTTTATTAGTGCGTGTCTAGTTTATTAGTGCGTGTCTAGTTTATTAGTGCGTGTCTAGTTTATGAGTGCGTGTCTAGTTTATTAGTGCGTGTCTAGTTTATGAGTGCGTGTCTAGTTTATTAGTGCGTGTCTAGTTTATTAGTGCGTGTCTAGTTTATTAGTGCGTGTCTAGTTTATTAGTGCGTGTCTAGTTTATTAGTGCGTGTCTAGTTTATTAGTGCGTGTCTAGTTTATGAGTGCGTGTCTATTTATTAGTGTGTGTCTAGTTTATTAGTGTGTGTCTAGTTTATTAGTGTGACTCTAGTTTATTAGTGTGTGTCTAGTTTATTAGTGTGTGTCTAGTTTATTAGTGCGTGTCTAGTTTATTAGTGCGTGTCTAGTTTATTAGTGCGTGTCTAGTTTATTAGTGCGTGTCTAGTTTATTAGTGCGTGTCTAGTTTATTAGTGCGTGTCTAGTTTATTAGTGCGTGTCTAGTTTATTAGTGTGTGTCTAGTTTATTAGTGTGACTCTAGTTTATTAGTGTGTGTCTAGTTTATTAGTGTGTGTCTAAAATAATGTGAGACTTAGAAAGACTTTTTTGTGCTGGTTTGATTTTCCGCATTAGACACATGGATGAGCATAACTGTTTCGTTACTAAAAGTCTGTGGAGAGAGTTGTGTATCCGCTGCAGGTGCTATGTGATTGTGCGCAATGACAAAGTGTGTGTCACGGGTCAAAAAGGTCGGGGAGCACTGCTTCACCTTTTAGCCTGGGCTTTGGTACTCCCTTCTTCTTCTCCTCTATCAGTTCCTCCTCTTCCATCTCTCCCGTCGCCGTGGTTACCGCTTCAGGTTCATTCATATTTACACACTCTTCTTCATCCTCACTGTCACCGTCCTCCATTCTCTGCTTGTTCTCCTCCTCTTCGTCCTCCTCTTCCTCCACGTCCGGGGGCAGTTCTTTCATGTTGAAGAGCTGTGCGGGGAGATTGGGGCGCTTCGGGGGCAGTTTCTGTAAACATGAAAACGGGTTAATGTGTGTGTGTGTGTGTGTCTAGTTTATTAGTGTGGTGTCTTGTTTATTAGTGTGTGTGTGTGTGTGTCTAGTTTATTAGTGCGTGTCTAGTTTATTAGTGCGTGTCTAGTTTATTAATGCGTGTCTAGTTTATTAGTGCGTGTGTGTGTGTGTGTGTGTGTCTAGTTTATTAGTGTGTGTCTAGTTTATTAGTGCGTGTCTAGTTTATTAGTGCGTGTCTAGTTTATTAATGCGTGTCTAGTTTATTAGTGCGTGTGTGTGTGTGTGTGTGTGTCTAGTTTATTAGTGTGGTGTCTTGTTTATTAGTGTGTGTGTGTGTGTGTGTCTAGTTTATTAGTGTGGTGTCTTGTTTATTAGTGTGTGTGTGTGTGTCTAGTTTATTAGTGTGTGTCTAGTTTATTAGTGTGTGTCTAGTTTATTAGTGCGTGTCTAGTTTATTAGTGCGTGTCTAGTTTATTAGTGCGTGTCTAGTTTATTAGTGCGTGTCTAGTTTATTAGTGCGTGTCTAGTTTATTAGTGCGTGTCTAGTTTATTAGTGTGTGTGTGTGTGTGTCTTGTTTATTAGTGTGTGTGTTTGTGTGTTGTCTAGTTTATTAGTGTGGTGTCTTGTTTATTAGTGTGTGTGTGTGTGTGTGTGTCTAGTTTATTAGTGTGTGTCTAGTTTATTAGTGTGTGTCTAGTTTATTAGTGCGTGTCTAGTTTATTAGTGCGTGTCTAGTTTATTAGTGCGTGTCTAGTTTATTAGTGCGTGTCTAGTTTATTAGTGCGTGTCTAGTTTATTAGTGCGTGTCTAGTTTATTAGTGTGTGTGTGTGTGTGTCTAGTTTATTAGTGTGGTGTCTTGTTTATTAGTGTGTGTGTGTGTGTGTCTAGTTTATTAGTGTGTGTCTAGTTTATTAGTGTGTGTGTGTGTGTGTCTAGTTTATTAGTGCGTGTCTAGTTTATTAGGGCGTGTCTAGTTTATTAGGGCGTGTCTAGTTTATTAGTGTGTGTCTAGTTTATTAGTGCGTGTCTTGTTTATTAGTGTGTGTCTAGTTTATTAGTGTGGTGTCTTGTTTATTAGTGCGTGTGTGTGTGTGTGTCTAGTTTATTAGTGCGTGTCTAGTTTATTAGGGCGTGTCTAGTTTATTAGGGCGTGTCTAGTTTATTAGGGCGTGTCTAGTTTATTAGGGCGTGTCTAGTTTATTAGGGCGTGTCTAGTTTATTAGGGCGTGTCTAGTTTATTAGGGCGTGTCTAGTTTATTAGTGCGTGTCTAGTTTATTAGGGCGTGTCTAGTTTATTAGGGCGTGTCTAGTTTATTAGTGTGTGTGTGTGTGTGTTTAGTTTATTAGTGTGGTGTCTTGTTTATTAGTGTGTGTGTGTGTGTGTCTAGTTTATTAGTGTGGTGTCTTGTTTATTAGTGTGTGTGTGTGTGCGTCTAGTTTATTAGTGTGTGTCTAGTTTATTAGTGCGTGTCTAGTTTATTAGTGCGTGTCTAGTTTATTAGGGCGTGTCTAGTTTATTAGGGCGTGTCTAGTTTATTAGGGCGTGTCTAGTTTATTAGTGTGTGTGTGTGTGTGTGTCTAGTTTATTAGTGTGGTGGTGTCTTGTTTATTAGTGTGTGTCTGTTTGTTAGTGTGTGTCTAGTTTATTAGTGTGGTGTCTTGTTTATTAGTGTGTGTAGTTATTAGTGTGTGTCAGTTTATTAGTGCGTGTCTAGTTTATTAGTGCGTGTCTAGTTTATTAGTGCGTGTCTAGTTTATTAGTGCGTGTCTAGTTTATTAGTGCGTGTCTAGTTTATTAGTGCGTGTCTAGTTTATTAGTGCGTGTCTAGTTTATTAGTGCGTGTCTAGTTTATTAGTGCGTGTCTAGTTTATTAGTGCGTGTCTGTTTATTAATGCGTGTCTAGTTTATTAGTGCGTGGTGTGTGTGTGTGTCTAGTTTATTAGTGTGGTGTCTAGTTTATTAGTGCGTGTCTAGTTTATTAGTGCGTGTCTAGTTTATTAGTGCGTGTCTAGTTTATTAGTGCGTGTCTAGTTTATTAGTGCGTGTCTAGTTTATTAGTGCGTGTCTAGTTTATTAGTGCGTGTCTAGTTTATTAGTGTGTGTCTAGTTTATTAGTGTTGTCTAGTTTATTAGTGTGGTGTCTTGTTTATTAGTGTGTGTGTGTGTGTGTGGTCTAGTTTATTAGTGTGTGTCTAGTTTATTAGTGCGTGTTAGTTATTGTGGTGTCTAGTTTATTAGTGCGTGTCTAGTTTATTAGTGCGTGTCTAGTTTATTAGTGCGTGTCTAGTTTATTAGTGCGTGTCTAGTTTATTAGTGCGTGTCTAGTTTATTAGTGCGTGTCTAGTTTATTAGTGCGTGTCTAGTTTATTAGTGCGTGTCTAGTTTATTAGTGCGTGTCTAGTTTATTAGTGCGTGTCTAGTTTATTAGTGGTGTCTAGTTTATTAGTGCGTGTCTAGTTTATTAGTGCGTGTGTGTGTGTGTCTAGTTTATTAGTGTGGTGTCTTGTTTATTAGTGTGTGTGTGTGTGTGTGTCTTGTTTATTAGTGTGTGTGTGTGTGTGTCTAGTTTATTAGTGCGTGTCTAGTTTATTAGTGCGTGTCTAGTTTATTAGTGCGTGTCTAGTTTATTAGTGCGTGTCTAGTTTATTAGTGCGTGTCTAGTTTATTAATGCGTGTCTAGTTTATTAGTGCGTGTCTAGTTTATTATGCGTGTCTAGTTTATTAGTGCGTGTCTAGTTTATTAGTGCGTGTCTAGTTTATTAGTGCGTGTCTAGTTTATTAGTGCGTGTCTAGTTTATTAGTGCGTGTCTAGTTTATTAGTGGGTGTCTGTTTATTAGGCGTGTCTAGTTTATTAGTGCGTGTCTAGTTTATTAGTGCGTGTCTAGTTTATTAGTGCGTGTCTAGTTTATTAGTGCGTGTCTAGTTTATTAGTGCGTGTCTAGTTTATTAGTGCGTGTCTAGTTTATTAGTGCGTGTCTAGTTTATTAGTGCGTGTCTAGTTTATTAGGGCGTGTCTAGTTTATTAGGGCGTGTCTAGTTTATTAGTGCGTGTCTAGTTTATTAGTGCGTGTCTAGTTTATTAGTGCGTGTCTAGTTTATTAGTGCGTGTCTAGTTTATTAGTGCGTGTCTAGTTTATTAGTGCGTGTCTAGTTTATTAGTGCGTGTCTAGTTTATTAGTGCGTGTCTAGTTTATTAGTGCGTGTCTAGTTTATTAGTGCGTGTCTAGTTTATTAGTGCGTGTCTAGTTTATTAGTGCGTGTCTAGTTTATTAGTGCGTGTCTAGTTTATTAGTGCGTGTGTGTGTGTGTGTGTCTAGTTTATTAGTGTGGTGTCTTGTTTATTAGTGTGTGTGTGTGTGTGTGTGTAGTTTATTAGTGTGTGTGTCTAGTTTATTAGTGTGTGTCTAGTTATTAGTGTGTCTAGTTATATTAGTGCGTGTCTAGTTTATTAGTGCGTGTCTAGTTTATTAGTGCGTGTCTAGTTTATTAGTGCGTGTCTAGTTTATTAGTGCGTGTCTAGTTTATTAGTGCGTGTCTAGTTTATTAGTGCGTGTCTAGTTTATTAGTGCGTGTCTAGTTTATTAGTGCGTGTCTAGTTTATTAGTGCGTGTCTAGTTTATTAGTGCGTGTCTAGTTTATTAATGCGTGTCTAGTTTATTAGTGCGTGTGTGTGTGTGTGTGTCTAGTTTATTAGTGTGGTGTCTTGTTTATTAGTGTGTGTGTGTGTGTGTCTAGTTTATTAGTGTGTGTCTAGTTTATTAGTGCGTGTCTAGTTTATTAGTGCGTGTCTAGTTTATTAGTGCGTGTCTAGTTTATTAGTGCGTGTCTAGTTTATTAGTGCGTGTCTAGTTTATTAGTGCGTGTCTAGTTTATTAGTGCGTGTCTAGTTTATTAGTGCGTGTCTAGTTTATTAGTGCGTGTCTAGTTTATTAGTGCGTGTCTAGTTTATTAGTGCGTGTCTAGTTTATTAGGGCGTGTCTAGTTTATTAGTGGCGTGTCTAGTTTATTAGGGCGTGTCTAGTTTATTAGTGGTGTGTCTAGTTTATTAGTGTGTGTCTAGTTTATTAGTGCGTGTCTAGTTTATTAGTGCGTGTCTAGTTTATTAGTGCGTGTCTAGTTTATTAGTGCGTGTCTAGTTTATTAGTGCGTGTCTAGTTTATTAGTGCGTGTCTAGTTTATTAGTGCGTGTCTAGTTTATTAGTGCGTGTCTAGTTTATTAGTGTGTGTGTGTGTGTCTAGTTTATTAGTGTGGTGTCTTGTTTATTAGTGTGTGTGTGTGTGTGTGTGTGTGTGTCTAGTTTATTAGTGTGGTGTCTTGTTTATTAGTGTGTGTGTGTGTGTCTAGTTTATTAGTGCGTGTCTAGTTTATTAGTGCGTGTCTAGTTTATTAGTGCGTGTCTAGTTTATTAGGGCGTGTCTAGTTTATTAGGGCGTGTCTAGTTTATTAGGGCGTGTCTAGTTTATTAGGGCGTGTCTAGTTTATTAGTGCGTGTCTAGTTTATTAGGGCGTGTCTAGTTTATTAGTGCGTGTCTAGTTTATTAGGGCGTGTCTAGTTTATTAGGGCGTGTCTAGTTTATTAGGGCGTGTCTAGTTTATTAGTGTGTGTGTGTGTGTGTCTAGTTTATTAGTGTGGTGTCTTGTTTATTAGTGTGTGTGTGTGTGTGTGTCTAGTTTATTAGTGTGGTGTCTTGTTTATTAGTGTGTGTGTGTGTGCGTCTAGTTTATTAGTGTGTGTCTAGTTTATTAGTGCGTGTCTAGTTTATTAGTGCGTGTCTAGTTTATTAGGGCGTGTCTAGTTTATTAGGGCGTGTCTAGTTTATTAGTGCGTGTCTAGTTTATTAGTGTGTGTGTGTGTGTGTCTAGTTTATTAGTGTGGTGTCTTGTTTATTAGTGTGTGTGTGTGTGTGTGTGTGTCTAGTTTATTAGTGTGGTGTCTTGTTTATTAGTGTGTGTGTGTGTGTGTCTAGTTTATTTGTGTGTGTCTAGTTT